GACATGGTCATGCTGCCGAATGGAAAAGTTCTGATCATAAACGGAGCGTCGTCCGGGTCCGCCGGTTGGGAGCAGGGGAGAGACCCGGTTTTCACCCCGGTTCTTTACCGACCCGAAAACGAAATCGGGTCCCGATTCGAATTGCAAGCTCCGAGCAAAAGACCCAGAATGTACCATTCCACGGCGATCCTGCTCCGGGACGGCAGAGTTCTCGTCGGCGGAAACAACCCGCACGATAAGTACAATTTCACCACAAATCTTTTCCCGACGGATTTAAGCCTAGAGGCGTTTTCGCCGGCGTATTTGGATCCGGGTTTCGCCGATCTGCGCCCGCGGATCATTTCGCCCGGTCCGTTTACAAAACTGGGTTACGGAAAACCGGTCACGGTTCAGTTCACGCTGACCGGGCCGATGGAGAGAGATTCGGTCGTGGTAACCATGGTCGCACCATCATTCGCGACCCATTCGTTTTCGATGAACCAAAGGCTGCTGGTTCTGGGCAGTGGGTATCGGGTTGAATCCATGGACGCGCCCGGAGGAAATTGGTACCAAATGGAAGTGATTATGCCGGGTTCGGGTAATCTTGCCCCGCCCGGATATTATCTTCTTTTCGTTGTTCACAAGGACATACCCAGTGAGGGCATTTGGGTTCAGATCCGAGAACAGAGCTATTAGGGTATTCGGGCGGGCGGACAGGCGGGTTACCCGGATTAGTGATCTTATAAATATTTTGTTGTAAAAATTATTTAAATTCATGTGCAAGTTTTGTTCGAGTCTTGTTAAATAATGCAAGCTAGTCTCTTTAATTCGTGTGAATTTAGTCTTGATAAACAAATAGCTATCCAATTAAGGTCTCTCGTGTAAAAATTTTTTTATCTAAATTGAGTTCAATTTAATATTTAATAACTTAAATAAAATCGAATGATATTAAACAGGGTTGGAGAGCGAATAATTATATGCAAGAACTGTTTACAAAACTTAATCTATACCCCGTGTTTCACAAATGAAAAAAAAAACAAATGAAAACAAAATATTAATTCAAATGTTTGTTAATGTTTTTAAATTCATCAACAAAAATAATAAAAGTTGAATAAAAGTACAATTTGCACATAATAAAGTTGAATCAAATCTGAAAAAAGAGACTAAATTAAGAGTAAAATATAGAAAATATATCAAAATAAGATTTTTATGTTTCTATCATCAAAATAAGAGTTAACATGTATATACAATGTTAATCATGACAATATACAATACTAAAAAGTAACATAAAATGTTCATAAACTGTGTCACATTGAAAAAACCTATAATAACATGATACTCATATTTTCGTTCTTTCTTTATATTTTATTCCTACTTAAGATAATTTCTCATCATATTTTCAAAATAAATTTATTACCTAATGAAAAACTATAAATGGATTGTCATATTTTAAAATATATTAATATGTATGTTTGGTTTGGGATTTTTGATATGGGAAATTAGCTCGTATCGTTCCCAAATCCCAAACAAATTGTTCGATTCGATTTGTTTTTTTTTTGCGTTACTTTATTTGTTCAGTATTCTTTAATTTGAATTTCTCAACTTTTTCATAAAATTTTGGAATTAGTTTGATAGTTACTCACCCCTTATTATTTGTTTTACAAAAAATTAAAAAGTTAATCATGTATAGAGCATTTAGAGGTTAAGATGACCAAAACTATTTAAAACAATTTAACACCTGTAATGGTCCAGATATAATCTTCTAATTTGAGTTTTCACGATCTGCAATTTAATGCTTTAACTATTAATATCAATGTTTATACATAAATATATTTTGTAAAATTTTAATATTTTAAAATTATCTTATAAAAGAAAATTATTAATATTAAATTTATATCAAAACATACTACTTTATTTTTTCTTTATATCAAAACTTACAAACTTTGATCAGGAAAAATCAAATAAAAATATTAAACTAGCACGGAGGTATTAATTTTTATTTTGTGAAACTATGTCATTTATAGATAATTTTGCCCCCAACAGCTCAAAAGAAAGTTACCCGTGTGGCCGTATTCTAAATTCTGTAATGGCAAGGCCTAGGCAAACATCCTATAATTAAAACTTACTAAATTGAGTTGATTTTTAGCATTTTTCATACAAAGAGCCTCTTTTTTGCAAAAGAATTGAATTTTCAAAATTCTAACCTAAGTGCACAAAATACATACACATAGCGAGTACATAACATCAACAAATATTTGAATGATTAATACAATATCATTTTTTAATATATCAACGAGATCGATTCAAATGGATAGTAGCTTGAGTTCGTTAAGGGTGAAATTTCTTATAGGTCAAGATTTTACCAAATAAAAATTATTTGTACAAGCAAAACAATTGAACTAGCAAACATACTAGCTAAAAAGATGCTATAACACTAAGCACCAGCACCGATGAGAGAGTACTATATCGTCTTTTCTATCACAAGCAGTAATAATTTTCCTCGGTGTGTTGTTATCGATATTTTAAAAAAATAGATCAAGAACAACTGGGAGACAAATTGAAGCCGATGTTGATGCCTATTTTGTGACTAAATTTTCAGTTTAAAAAGAAAAAAATGTACATTGTTATTTATTATGTTCTGCGGAATTGATGAAATTCCATACGGGACCAAACCTTGAAGACAAATACGGACATGTTTGAGCTTCTGCTAAGGCTTGGTTTCCAGAAAGTAAAAATGCTTCTAAGTTGTGACATAGTGGAAATCAATGTTTTGGTGTTTATAATTATTGTGCTCTTGCAACAATTGGTTTGTTGCAATGTGTTGGGTTGTCTTTCTTATGTTCCCATTTAGAATTTGTATATGCATATGATTATTTAATTTATTCAAGGATGAGTGGAAAAAATATGCTTGGTATGTTATTGTGTAGGTCAAATTAGTTATATACTCCCTCCGTCCCTAAATAAACTTCCATTTTTGACTTTTTGAAGATTTAAGGGAGAGATATTTTTGTGTTGACTTTCCAAAAATACCCTTGATGTGATGTGTAAAAGTAAGATGTGATAGGTAGATTATTAGTAAAAAGGTATGATATGATAGGTAGGGTATAAAAAAGTAAGGGGTAAAAGGGTTTTTTAAGGGAAAAGAGAAATTTATTTGGGGACAAAGAAAAAACGAAAGAGAAAGTTTATTTAGGGAAGGAGGGAGTACTACATCTCTTCTTGAGTATGTGTCTAGTTTTGATTTTTTACAATCATAATTCAAAAACTTTGATTATTAATTAAATAAAATTAGTACAGAATATTAGAAATTCATTCAAAAATAATTTTGATAAATGTTCATATATACAAAAATATACAGAGTATATACTCTGTATAAATCACCTAGGTTCCTTTGACACCGAATGTGAGTGTCATTTATGATACTCATATACTCCCTCCGTCCCATAAAGATTTACCTCTTTCATAAAATTTTTGTCCCACAAACATTTACACATTTGCCTAAAAATGACATTCCTACCCTTAAACCTAATTTCTACCCCCCACCCTCTTACCCCTCCCACCATCCATTCATCCTCTCTCCTACGCATCCCCTCATCCATTCATCTTCTCTCCTCTATCCCTAGCTCTCTCTGTGGCTGCTGTTCCTCTTCCCCATCGCCGCCGGCACCCTCAAGAATTCACCAAAAATGGTGGGTCGCGATCCTACCATGTCCTCCTTCAAGCTTTTAAGCGATAGCGAAGATGAAAAGGCATCTCCCCAGTCACCTCCTAAATCTAAAAAATCACTGATACCTCCTTACGACTCTGGTGATAGCGCATCTGGCACGGATGATACAGATTCGACGTGGTGGTATCGGAAAAAATATTTGGGGGTGACTTTTTTCCGTCTGAGGATGAAGGAGGCAGTGTCGAATCTGATGGGGAAGATGGGGAATCAGTAACTTCTGCCCAGATCTTGGAAATGTCTGATACAGAGATAATTTTATCTGAGCCCTATGGGGATGAGGCTAAAGCACTGCGTTACAGACAGAGTATTATGTTCTTCCTCTTTAGATTCACATTTGATTAGTACTTGCATGTCCCATTATATACTCTGTATAATGTTTATTGGAAAACTTATGATGCAAACAAACTTTGTGTGAATGGTTGGAAGTCTGTGAGATTTTTTTGGGTTTAGCTATATTGTAATGTCACCCCCTATGGGTTGGAGACTTACAACACTGTATTGGTCTGGTCTACCATATTGTTTGTTCTGTGAGAGGGGCTTGGTGGTGAAAATTTGGGGTTTGATGGTGAATAGGGTGAATGTAATCCCTGTTTGAAACATATGGGCAGTTGAGTACTCCACTTGCTATAATATTTTGCTTTACACTTAACATGGACTTAGGGCAGGTCCTACACTTGATTCTATTGCCTCTATCTATTTCTCTGGTTCATTTACTACACTTGACTCCTAAAATATTTTCTAAAGAACAATGCTTAGGGCAGGTCCTATACTTGATTGTGTTGCCTCTGTCTATTTCTCTAGTTCATTTACTACAATTGAACACTTGCCTCTGTCTGATTCTATTTGTTGCCTCTATCTGATACATTTGCTGCACTTGATACACTTCATTCCAATAAAACTTTG